TTTGTCTGTGTATCCATTTCATGTTCGATCAACAAAATCTCAATGCACTACAGAGACTAGACAGTGGGTGCAATACGCTCTCTATCTGAAGACGTGAACCATTAAATTTTTTTGGAAAAGTTATACGTACACCTGAAACGTAATGAAGTACAGGAATAGAGAGAGTGACTACAATACGCTCTCGACCTGATAATAGTGATAACGTGAGTACAAGACACTCTCCACCTGATAACGTGTTAGAAGGTAACATGTCTACAGTCCCACCGTACCCTTCCGACACGACTGTAGACCATTACATTTTTTTGAGAAGTTATACGTACACCTTAAACGTAATGAAGTACAGGAATAGAGAGAGTGACTACAATACGCTCTCGACCTGATAACGTGAGTACAAGACACTCTCCACCTGATAACGTGTTAGTAGAAGGTAACAGGTCTACAGTCCCACCGTACCCTTCATCATTCCTCATTCACCATCGCGCGATACCCTGGCACACACTGGCAACATATCAATCGGGTGCCTTACCATCGTCTAGAGGAGACGTCTTCGCAGGAATATTTTCCCTCCTGCGCATTCAGTCGCCGACGCGACAGCGTTCACGGGGCCGTTCCAGTTGCGGAAGACGTTCGATTCATCGGGCCAATTCAGAAACAGGGCCGTGGACACACAGGGGGCAGAGGAGAGACATTGTTAGTGGACAAGAAATATGCAGTGGCAAGTGGCGAGTGCCGCATGGATGTCAAGTTGTCATGCACAATTCAGCTATTACTTACGGTCCAGTTAGTCCTGCCATTGCTCGCTCGTCCTGGTTCCTCCTCGTTCGTCTTCCTGCACGTCTGCACTTCTCCTTCCCCACCGTTGGCTTTGCGGTACGGGGGTGCCGGAAGGAATTCCCACCATGTATCCATGTACATGAAGTCCCACCATGACTCTCCATGTACATGTCCACGGCCACGTCAGCAGTTTGTACAGTACCGGAAGGAGTTCCCACGATGCCTCCAAAGGCCTAGAGCGGACGTCTTTTTCGCCCTGCGCATTCAGTTCGCCGACGATGTCTCCAAAGGCAAAGGCCTAGAGCCTAGTAGAGGGAACGTCTTTGCAGCAATTCTTTTCACCATGAAGTCCCACCATGACTCTCCATGTACATGTCCACGGCCACGTCAGCAGTTTGTACAGTACCGGAAGGAGTTCCCACGATGCCTCCAAAGGCCTAGAGCGGACGTCTTTGCAGCAATTCTTTTCGCCCTGCGCATTCAGTTCGCCGACGATGTCTCCAAAGGCAAAGGCCTAGAGCCTAGCTTTGCAGCAATTCTTTTCACCCTAGTACCCTGCACATTCACCCCGCCGACACGACAGCGTTTACGGGGCCGTTCCAGGTGCAAAAGGTCCACGTCAGCAGTTCTCAACTATTTCGCGTACGGGATAGTCGCCGCGACAGCGTTTAAGGGGTCGTTCCAGATGCAAAAGGTATCCATCAATGGCATTTTGCAGTATGGGGTACGGAAAAGGGGCCTCCTCGTTCGACTTCGTCGACTTCTGCAGTTCTCCTTCCCGTCAGGGGTACCGAAAGGGGCCTCCTCGCAGTTGTCCTTGCCGTCAGGTCCACGTCATGCAGTTCTCAACTATTTCGCGTACGGGATAGTCGTCTTTGTCGTATCTACGCGACATCGGCGTTTACCGAGTGGCATTGGCACAAAGCAGACCGTTGACGGGGTCACGTGTCAAAAAAGTATCAACAACGTGTCGACTAAGTGTCGACCACGTGTATAGCGGTACACTCAGCGGTACACTAATTCTCGTGCCATTCTCGTGTCACAAAACTGGAACATCGAGTACCAGTATGGAAAGGCTTCAGACAGGAAGCCTTTCCAATCTACACACATCCTCATGTACAGATTCGTATACGCGTATCGGCTATAGCGTTGGTCTTTGATTGGCAACATTTATTACTATACGCGATGTATTACTACCGGTATAATAATTATAGTCTACAAGCGATAGACCACCGCACACATCATGCATGGTACCAAACAGATCGTGGCACGCAGTGCCAGGCCCAGCATGCAGTATACTGTATAGTGCTAGCTAGCTGTGGTCCAGCACAGTGCGGAAACTCTCGCAGAAACTTCCGGTCCCGGAAGTCTATCTTCGGCCAGCAACTAACTAGTACTTACTTTTTGAAGATCCAGGTAACAACGCCGAACCAACGAAACAAATGTGAGCCAGCATGGAACGGTGGAGGTGCGCACACGCACACATTCCAGACCTTACCCGGTTACCGTCCACAATGTTACAAAAAACATTTTTCATCGAAGCAAGAGTCCATGTCTTTGTCGAAGAGTAACGCTGGACTTTCACCGGACATTGACCATTGTGTAAGACCAGCTAACTAGCAGCCAACGCTGATGGCTGACTCGCCGCGATGCCGTTCTTGGGATTGGGAGGAAGCTGGGCTTTCTCCAGATGAGCTTTTGGCGGAGTCCTCTGATGATAGTGACGTCGTCGAGTTGGAAACTGCAGATCCTGCCGCGATAGCGAGGAAGCGGTCTTTTCAGAAAACAGCTATTACCAAGTCTGAAAATGTTTCCAAAAGGACGCGAGGAGCTCATGGACAGAGCACTGAAGTGGCCATCAGTGCCGAAACACGGGTGCGGAGCAGCTCAAAAGCGACTGTGGCAAGTTAGTGTGCCTGGCATGCCATACAACATTGTCAGGGAAGAAGAGTATAGTCATGTCCCATATTGCTACCGCGAGACACAAACAAGGAAAGTCCCGTTTGGAGAGGGAAACTCAGAGGCAGAAGCTGGTCAAGGAGTCCTTCTTGGCGTATCAGAAACGACTTGGGAAGGCTCTAGCCGGCACCGGTCTTACTGAGGCCGTTAGTTAAGCCGAGTCTCTGCGGCGGATCCAGATTGTGCGTTCTATGTTGCATAGCATGGGTGCAATATTATAGCGTTTTCCTTAGCCCGATACCGCAGGGTTCAGGAGTTTATATTCCATCCGGCGGAGCATTATCAGCATTATTTGGAGCATTATATGGCCTTTTGTGGAGCATTACTGAGAGCATTATATCCCATATTACCGAGCATTATCCGCCAACACCTACCGTAGAGTAACGAGGGTCCGAACCTGGGTTTTCCCAATACGGTTCAAATGGTCGCAAGACCGGGACTCTGCCAACTGGTTTATGGTTGTAGTCAGGAGCACTACGCGTCCTCGCCTTGTAACATGCTGTCAAAATCGAAAAACATGTTAAACTACCAAGCAAGGCTTCTGTATATAGTAATGGAGACGTGTACGTGGGGAAAATACGGTATGTTATCAACAACAGTAACTGTGTCTTTGTGGTCCACTTCACAACAATAACACACACAGAAGTCTCTGCTGTGAGCACGGTGGCTCGGCAATGGCTTTATTATTGATATTATTATATCTCCTTCCTGATATTTTTTCTTTTTTCTTTTCTTTTTTGAAGAATTGTACGCATAGGGCCTGATATCATAAGGAAAATTAGCACAAGACACTGCTGCTACTGTAGTCGCACAGCAAAACACACAGAAAACGACAAAATGTTACAATGAATGTAACAACACCCGTCCAAGCTAGAGGACCGACATCCCTGCCCCAGGACGGCATCTCGAAACCCCCACACACTCACCACACGGTCATCATCCAGCTTCAGTTCAATCACTGTATTCTTCCCCTGCAGACTCAACCCCCCTGTCACTAGCCATACAATCTGAAGCTGTATGTAACCATACAATGGCCCACGACGCACACACCACCCCTACGTTTTTTAACTAAAAAAGAAAAGCAGTCGTAACTGCAACAGCCACATGGCCAATAAGAAAAACCAATACGATAATATATCGATAAACACACACCCAGAAGTCAGGGGTGGGAGGGTGGGATACAAACTGCACCAACGAAAAGCCACTGCGAAGTGACAGGAATACGGTCCAGCACAACATTTTTGTGGACGCAAAAAGTTGTGGGGAAATCCCAAAATCGGTGCGATTTTGCATGAGCCCAAATGTTCAGGTTACCCACAAGTGACAAAGACATAAGCTTTCCAACTCTCTTTGGCCGTTGGAAAGCGCACCAGATCTACGTGCCGTGTGTTGTGGGAGTCAAGTAACAGCCCAGGGCTTTTACGACTCCCGGCCCTGCTAGACTAGTGACACTCACTGCTAGAGCTACACTAGTTTGTAATACCGGCGTTGCAAGAGAGGTTGCCAGCGGCGAGGAGTGTGTCCGTCCCATCGACCGTAGCAGTAGCTGGAAATGTTACCAATTTGGCAATACTACAGCGTAACTGTGTCTTACTATTTTTAGAAGCGAGCAAACTCGTGTTTAGTGTAATAAGTAGTTTGGTCCATCTGTGTGGAAATCCGGTCAGCGACTCGGCAAGGAAAGCAGCGCCGAACCACTACTACAAGTCAAGGCCATACAAAGACAATACGACTACGAGTACGAGGCCACATGCACACGAGGCCGCGCCCACGTCGACACGCTGATGTCACCTTCACAGAATGTAATTGTTCATTGCGTGCATTTACCATGTTTACTGTTTGGCAGTGTGGAGTGTAGAAAGAAAAATGTGGCTTTCAATGACGAAGGGTCTTGTGATCCATACTGTGTCCGAGAACAGAAGTAAACAAACAATACAGCGGTGCTGCAGCAGCACCCTGACAGCTACTTACAAGCGCGCATGACCTCAGACCTTTCATCGACGATTCATCGTTGCTCACTTGATCAACTCCCTGCAGGACCACACCACAGATGTTGGAACTAATACTAGTATTACATTGTACATGTAGTAATAACCTCTGATTTTCATGGGGTTGAGCTGGGAGCGCTCGAGCTAGCATTACGAGTAGCAAAAACCCGAGACCAAACACGTATGTAGTCGGGAATATCCCTCCCGCAGCTCCCCCCAGCCCTGTATGTAGCCTAGACTACAGTAGTAGTGTGTCGTCTGAGCTAGAGCTCTACAAGGTGTACTGGGGTATGGGTAGTGCAGCGCATGCCTGTGGTGTATTTTAGCTGTCGTGTGTCGTGCTTTTGACTTCGACTTCCTGACTCGTAAAGAGTCGTATGAATCGTTGTAGCTAGCGAGTACGACTAGTCGACTGCAAGTACAATCATGACATCCATGGCCGCTACGGACGGTGCTGGTTCTGGCTAGCCAGCTAGCGCTTGCAGAGAAAATACTACACGATGTTCGACGACGATGGTGAAATCGTGTCCGATCCGCCGTGATGATTCCGCTGAATCCGAAGCCCGCCGCAGCAGTCTGTAGTGTATGTAGTGACAAGATATCAACTGTATCTACAATAATTCTACATCTTACTCAGTCATAGTACATGATTGGACAAAATGACCATGATGTAGAGCCTGCGTTGCGCTGAGAGGGCATATCCGCTCCTTTCGGAAGTCAGTTCTCCAGATCGAAGAGGTAGACGTCGCGAAGGTTACTGGTTGAAAAAGAGAGCGTAACGCACTGCACTGGTCAGTGGTATGTGCATGCCATGTGAGCGCTGTGCTGAGTAGATCTACGAGTGCTGACCGGTCAGTCAGTGTTACATCGTGGTGTAGGCACAAGGCTAGTTCAGTAGTTGTGATGTTGATTGACCTGCCGTCAGTGTATGTGTGATGTTTCTGCCGGTTTAGATGACTTGAGACTTGTGTCGTCGAGGAGTGCTCCAACTTTCAGTCCTCCACAGCCTCACTGACCGTCTCACTCTACTCTCTTTCCTTTCCTACAACGACTAGAAATTTGTAGTTGATTTCTGATTTGGTGTTGTAGACTGTGGAGTGGCGGTACGTACAGTGGCGCTCTAAAGGGCCGTGCAAACGTCGACCTGGCTCCACTGCGAAGCGATCCTCTACTGCTGCTGTAGTGCTGGTCGATGGGACGCTGCAGCGAAGCATCTGGAAAAAAACTGCTCCACAGTGGCACAACATCACATGGCAATAAGGATAATAGCAGTTAGTTGCTGTGGATGTCGCTACGCTAACGGCTGCTGGATTAGGGCACCTGCAATATAAGGTGCCGAGTCTCGCTGACCTGTTACGACCCAAAACAGTTCCTGTTGAAGGATTCACTCACTGTGTCTACTTGGCTGTGGATTATCGATTGCAGCACTGCCCCGGCCTCGGTCAGCTCAGAAACACGCTTGTAAGTAAAATAATTAAATTTTTCTCTGTGCTGCGCCGATGAGTCCACAAAGGACGAAACAGTTCTGTCCGCAAATTGAGTAATTTAATTGTTCCTGTAGACATACATGCACGTGGACGGTGAGACGTTCAGTACTGGTATAACGCATTGCCAAGGCCCGTACAAGTTTGCAATGTGTAGCCCAGACACCAGTGCTCTACAATGTCATGTATAATTATCATGGTATATCCAGGGACAACATAATGGTCTCGGATGGAGAGCCAAGGATGAATTTATAGAAAAGAAAAGGACCAAGGAACTACAACTTGAGTTACGCTATAATGCTATAATGTTGGTACCGTCGGTCAGTGTCGTGCAATGTTATCACATGAGCTGATTGTTTAGTAACTAGTGGTGTTAGTGGATATTGTTATGGCGTAACTTGTAGTTCCATGGCCCTTCCCTTTTCTATAAATAATGGTGTAGACGCTGTGCGAATGCTGCCATAGGGCAAGGCAGTGGAACTGCGCATGCTGTCCTGGCCCGTGCCGCGATGGGCGCTAAATAAGCATACCGCGTGAGTTAGCAGATTTGCCGATGGGCGTCATATACACGTATGCGGCGTGAGTCATGCTAGCGCTAGTGCATAGTGCAGCGCTGTGCCGCGACTTCGCCGAAGCATCTCAACTGACGGTGTAATCCCGTAACGTCCATAGAATAGTGTATGATTTAAAGCAGGGATAGTGCTTTACACCCTACTAGCGCTTTAGAGAGTTCAGACTGTAGTTGTGTATGGAAACCGGTCATTTGGATTAGAGCTCAGACTATAGCTGTGTATGGTAACCGGTCATTTGGATGATGCCGGACTTCTGTTTGAGTACACTGAGTACTGGCTGGAGTGCTAAACGTCTGTGTCCGTCCCGTCCCACCTTGTGTTGCCGTTCCTTAGTAGTTCCGTGTTGTGCGGTGTGGCCAGTGTGACATGCTCGACATGCCAGACGTCATGAATGTGAGAACTGTCAATCTTGGGACTGAGGAGTGAACGAGGGAATGGCAGAGAGACTGGAAGTGTGGATCAAAATCAGGACGGGGGGGGGGAGAGAGAGAGAGAGAGAGAGAGAGAGAGAGAGAGAGAGAGAGAGAGAGAGGGGGGGGGGGGGAAGAAAGAGAGAGAGAGAGAGAGAGAGAGAGAGAGAGAGAGAGAGAGAGAGAGAGAGAGAGAGAGAGAGAGAGAGAGGGAGAGAGAGAGAGAGAAAAAGAGAGAGAGAGAGGTGTGCATGCGTGCAGTGTGTTATTGCTCCAGGCCAAACACGTATCCAGATTTGAGGACCAGAGTCAGAGATCGAGCGTCAGATAATCTTCTGAATGTTTGTCATAGTTGACCAAACTCCACACCTCTTCTCTGGTATTGCGCTCCAGGACAAATTCTCATCCGTCTGTACTGTATGTAATTGTTGCATTAGGTCTGTGCACCTTGGGCTTGGCTTTGACAAGTAAGCTGTACAATCACGTATGTTTGCTAGTTGACAGAGGGCCAAGGATAGAGTGCCAAGGACAGAGTGCCAAGGACAGTTATATGGGGCATTGCCTGTCACTAGGGTGACATCTGATACTCACACCCGAGTGCATGTACTGTGTTGATGTTGGGCTTGGCCATTACAAGCAAGACACATCACTGGGCAAGGTTATGTACATGTGCAGGATCTAGGATATCAGCTGTCACAGTTCAGTTGGAGCCCAGCATTGGGCCAGCAATGAAGGGCATGGCTATGATTTGTGTGTAGGATAGTTGTCTGAGTTGTCTCAGTGTCTGTCACAGCCAGAGCCCAACAATGAGAATGGCTATGCATGCAGGGTAGCTGTCACAGTTGAAGCCCAGCAATGCTGGGCATGGCTATGCTTGTGTGCTGGACAGCTGTCGCACTTGGCCATACAACTAACTTTAAGCAAGAAGACAAGCAAGAAGGCATTGATGATGCATGGCATGGACATGGTTATGTGTGCAGGATAGTAGCTGTCACAGTTGGAGCTCAACATTGGCATGGCTAAGATTGTGTGCAGTATACTCAGTAGCTGTCACATTTGACCATACAAGCAAGAACTAATAACTACTTGAAGAAGGCATCGATGACCCCCATGGGCATGGTTATGTGTGCAGGATAGCTAGCTGCTGTGCACAGTTGGAGTTCGCCACCATCGTAGTGGTGTTGACACTGTCATGCAACTCCTAGTCTTACATCCAAACACTATCAGTGCCACTGTGTGTCTGGCTTGCAAAGCACTTCACCACTCAGTTATTTTGTTTCCTGTTTGACCCCCTTTGAAGCTGTACATCTATATTGTACTGTTGAGGCAATGAACTGAAATATATCGAAAAAAACAAGTTTTCAGGTTGGGAGTGTGCATCTTACAGACGAGCTCCAGGGTAGGAGTACAAATCTTACAGATGCTCTAAGCCGTGTGCTATTCTAGTATCTAGAAATCCTCTTTGTTCCAAGGCGAAGGTGCTGTGAAGTGCAGAGCAGCGGGAGGCAATTATCATAGTTATGTGGAGGACATCAGGGCTAGGGGTGCATGGTGGCTGGACTGGTTAGGTAGAGGAGGACATGGGTGTGTGTGTTGGGGGGGGGGGGGGGTTGTGCATATTGGATTGTGAGGTCAAGGAGGACATTTGAAGGACAGAAGCCATGTGGCAACTAAGTCAGCGGGCTACTGAAATGTGTTATCTAATTTATCTAGGTGATGGCCACTGAAATGTGTTATCTAGGTGATGGATATGTGTGTGGACATGGGCAATCAGAAATCCAGCGGTGGATCCAGTGATCTCTGCAGGCAGTTCCAGTATAGTCAAAACTGAATAGCTGATACTACATATACATGGACACGCATATGGTTGCCAGTAGTACATTTACGAAATATTTAGGGGATTCCGAGGAACCCCTGGAACCCCTCCGGGGCAATCATTAGCACAGCATGCATATACTTGTGCACTGCAGCAATTACATGGCCACATGCCGTTTCTGCAATGCACATCATCATCATCTGCATCTTGTGCTCGTAGAGAGAGAGATGAAAACTAGATTAGTGGAAGAAGCAGATGTACTGTAGTGAAGGGGTTTCCCTGGGCATAGAGTGCATTGCTTGTTAGCTAGCAAGTACCTTTGCCTATCCTTGGCTTGGGGGTATTAATAGCATTGTGCCATTGCTACATGTACTTTGTGTTGTTTGGCTCTGTCCTCCTCCTGTCCTCCTCCTGGTAAGCCCAGCACTTTTCCAAGTACACTGACTCACGCCTCTCACACTCTCTTATCCGGACCCCCAAGGTATGGGCACCTCAGTCTACTGCCTAGTGCTGGGCACACAGTGGATGATGAGTTTTAGTGGAGATCATACTACCATATTGTTCCGGAGTATGAGTTGCACTCTGAACACTCAAATTCACCCAAAAGAATGCACTTGCGGCTTAACTGTTATACTCCGATGACGATCATAAATAGGGTAGATGTCTGTATTCGGTGGCGAAAAATGGGGGATGCGGCTTATACGTTACTGCGGAAAATACAGCACTACTCTCTTGCCACTTTTGGTGGAAATAGAGATGTCATATTCCATATCTCTGGCCCTTACCCTTCGAAGTGTACGTAATTCAGAGTTTTAGATGTTTCCAAGTTAAGGGCAGTATCCAGTCATGGATCGCCCAGATAAGGGAGATAAGAGTGTAATTGGCAAGTACCTTAGCTTGTGCAATTAGCTTGTGCAATTAGCTTGTGCCATACTGTAATTTCACAATTTTTCGGTGTACTTTTATTTTCAGTACTTTTGGTGCATCTGTTTCATACCTAAAATTTCAATAACCGAACAAACACATAATCGAATAGGAAACTGCTTCTCTGTACCTAACATTTCTCTTCACCTAACCTGGCCTTTTGCTCTCACACCAAAAACGTTGAGCACCTAAAATTTCTGAAATTGGAGTACATTGGCCTTTAACCGCACACATCCGTTTTCCACAAAAAAATATCCGGATAGGCGAGGGAACCGGATAATCGAACACGCGCACTGTATGTATGCATGACATGTGCTGTAAATCTGTAACCAACGATTTTCTTCCGGATGGCGAGGATCTGGATAAAAGAGGACCGGATAAGCGGTGAGGTCTGGCTGTAGTACACATAATTGTAGGGTTGGAACGCTGAGACTCAGTGTTCTGTGATAGGGCATCAGCAGCAGTCCTGGAGTGTGTCTCCATCTAGCATTCCAGCAGTCCAGGACACAGCCTGGCAGAGACAGTGACAGATACATACTGTATATGGAGTGGTGTAGCTGAGGCACATACACTTGAGGTCTGCCACAGGGTACATGTGTGTGTGTGTGTGTCTGCGCATGTGTATCCTGGTCCTTGTGAAGTTACAGTAGTCTAACACCATGCACTTAAAAACCAGATAACCCAAGCACCCTGTGCCACTACTGCACTGTCTATTGTTATCATAGAGTGTGTGTGAGAGAGAGAGAAGGTTTGTACATGACCGTGTGGTGTGTGTGTGTGTGTGTGTGTGTGTGTGTATGTGTGTGTGTGTGTGCGTGTATGTGTGTGTGTGTGTGTGTGTGTGTGTGTGTGTGTATGTGTGTGTGTGTTTGTGAGAGAGAAAGTTTGTACATGACAGTGTTCTGTGTAGTGTAACAGGTGGCCGGACATTTGTACATGAATACGCATAAATGGAGTGTTTTGTGTCTTTTGTATGCCAGTGAATTGCATAGCCAGCAGTGTCATCTATAGGTTATTATAGCCAGCATTGTTATCTATTATAGACTATAGCATAGGCAGCTTTGTCATCTATAGCTAGTGTAGCATAGGCAGCAGTGTCATCTATAGCTAGTGTAGCATAGGCAGCTTTGTCATCTATAGCTAGTGTAGCATAGGCAGCAGTGTCATCTATAGCTAGTGTAGCATAGGCAGCTTTGTCATCTATAGCTAGTGTAGTGGTATGTACCCTCACAGCTAGTGAAGACAGTGTATTAGTGTTTGGCAGTACAATGACTGTGTGCTGCTCTAAAAAGGAAATGTATTAGCTGAAGAGTCCTATGCTGCACTGCACTACAGTGCACTGTGCTGTACATGTTCTGTAGAGCAGCTCTGATTCCATCAATCAACAAAGAAAGCAGTTAGTGGAGCAGATCAGCTGTCAGTTGACAAACCCATTTTCCTGTGAACCACACACACACACACACACACAATCACACACACACACACACACATGCTCCAGGCTTCATCCACTCAAGTACCGATCACTAGTATCAGCTCATTTGAATCAAACAGAGTGCCTAGAGATCAGCAAGGGGCTATTATTGGTCAGCAACCCGGGGACAGATGCTTTATCCTCCCATTATACAACGTACAAAGCAGGTGCTGTCACTGTGGCTGCTGCTGTGTTTGGGTTGACCCGTGTGCATACACATGCCAGCAGGACTGAAAAGAAGTTTCTCATCCCACAGCCACTGCTGCTGCTGTGTTTGGGTTGACTGGAGTACAGTCATACACATGTCAGCAGGAAAAAGTACTTTCATCGCTCAGCCACTGGCACTGCTGCTGGTGTGTTTAGGTTGACTGGTTTGCATACACATGGCAGTAGGCTAGAAAAGTGCTTGCATTGTACATGTACATTGCACCTGTGACTAGAGCCGCTGTGAGAACTAACTACTTACTTACTGGGCTGAATACGGTAGCAGCCTAGGCTTGGATTGGAACAGCATGCCCAGGTACTTGTACTAAGTCTTGTAGATCATGATGTGCCTGTCAGTGGATGTACACACACAGAGTAAGGGGCACCTGTCTGGGATGTTTTCAAGTACATTAATAGTCCGGCGAACTTGCATGCACGCATACTTACGCAGACACACACACACACATACACACACACACACACACACACACACACACACACACACACACACACACACACACACACACACACAGCCCAGATATGATCTCTTACAGATGATGTTTTGTCGCTTGGTCGGTTTTTTTGTCTTTCCTTTTGCAGAGGCATCTTAGAGCAGCTGACAAGAACAGAGCTGAACAATATCAGGTTAGTGACCTACACACTGCCTCTTACTCTTACCTGTTGGTGGTGTTTCTCAACACTTTTGTATGCCAGTGGTAACACGGATGTACACAATTTACTCTACTTGCTAGTCAATTACTACAAGCGTGACTCACCAGGAGCTCTTAAAATGAAATATCCTGGCTTTCTGGCCTTGCAACATTCCAAAATCGTTGTAGCTACTCCAGCGCAGACTTTCTTATAATGAACGTTTGTGGAATCTTCGGTGTAATGTGGCCCGTCCATGTGTGCTGTGTGGCAATGCAGCCAGCCCCCCGGGCTATGCGGCTTGCAGTCCAGATGTATTGATGTGCAATTTGTTATTCCACACGTACGTCTACACCACCGGCACGGCTGTCCGAGAAGGACACATATGCGACGCACACACGCACGCACACAAAAACAGGCCATGGGTGTGTTATAACTGCATGATATTATGGCGAAGACCACAGCTGTTCGCCGTTACCAGTTCGGCAGAGCTCACTGCCTTGTCAGTTTGAGCACTCTGGCAAGGTACGTTCGGGCCTGGTTTAAATCTGGCTCTGGGAAATTTTATTTTTCTTTGCTATCAGGTTCGGCCTCATTTTCTCTGTGCTGCGCTGATGAGTCCACAAAGGATAAAATAGTTCTCTCTGCAGATTGAGTGTAAACTAAACGGTTATAATTATAAGAACAAGTAGCCTGATGATTGCGAGAGCATGAAACTTGAAGTAGCAGCAAACAAGCCTTGATTGTCCTTGCTGTTTTGTATTACACTCTGCCTCCGCCATGGTGTTGAGCACTGTCAGCACACTGGCTACATGCTCCGGTAAGAACAAGTAGATAAACTACTACTCAACAGTAGGTGCGGTATTGTCGGAAGTGGATATATTATTACTGCACACTCGCGCTCTGCTTCAGAGCTGGGCGAGTGGCAACAGTGTGCTTTGCGCTCGGTTTGGTTTTCTGCACAGCATGAAGCATTACGACACGGGAAGTCAACTGTCGTCGGTCGACGAAGACGACAACTCGTCATCGTTGCCGTTGCCCCTGACAACAGGCACTAGCGACGCGGCGGCTGTGCGTGGCGATACCCAGGCACAACTGAACACAGCCGTAGCGGCTGCAGGCCTGCACCCGCTGCCACGGCGCTATTCGCCGACGCCGAAATACCAGACGTCAACGTCACAGCCTGGTATCACGTGCTCATCGTCGGTTCCAGGCGAGATCCCCAGTGGCAGTGGACCAATGGCATCAGCATGCACACCTCAGCAGCAGCAACCTAGTGTTGCGGACCCAGGTGCTCAGGAGCCATACAGGCCTGGCATCACGTTGTCCTCATCTCTAGGCGAGAGTCCCAATGGCAGTGGGCAAATGACGTCAACATTCACACATCAGCAGCAGCAGCCTGGTGTTGCGGAGCGAGGCGCTCTGGAACCATACAGGCCTGGCGATAGTGCTGTGGAGCGTCCGTTGAGCGTCTCTCCCGACTCTGCCGCCATTCTCTTGGCTCAGCGACAACAACAACTACAACGTCAGCGCGGTGGCGACGGCAGCAGTGGAAGTGGTGGGACTACACTGAAGGTTAGTGTACGTTAGCCATTCGGTGCTTGAACATACTGTGTTCTCTCCTTGGTGTAAACACAGAGTGGAGGGTGGGCGGCTGTGTTGGCTCTGTGTGTGTGTGTGTGTGTGTTTGTTTCAGTAGAGAGAGAGGGGGGGGGGGGGGGGCATTGGTATCGCTGAGCTGGCATGCCAAACATTTCCTGCACACAGCCGGTAGCTAAGCACATCTCTACATGCCCTGCACAGCTTGTTCCTACTTCCTTCCACTTCCTTCCACTGCTCAACAATGAGCTAGTGTCGTAGGTAGCCTATTTCAAAATATGCATTTATCTGTCAGCAATAGTTCAAAACTAGCATACTAGCAAGGCAGGGACATTACACTAGCATGTACTCACACAGACAGACAGCCAGACAGCCAGCCAGGCATCATAGCTATTTTCCACACACTTACCTAGGGTACCCTGTAAAAAAGACTCTGAGTCTCCATGGGGATTGTCCTAATAAAATAATAAATACAACTACTCAGACAGGTGGGCATCATAGCAACATAAGAGATGCCAGCTGTTACAATGACTACTGGCCGGCTGCATGGGGGCGTTGGCCAACATGTTACTGGCATGCGTAGAAACCGGAAGGTGAGTTTGTCACCGAAGCATTGTGTTACTCCTGTTGGCCGCCGATACCTGGATTGCAGACTCTACACAGCCAGAGAGGCCACTTCTGGATACCCAACGTGGCTTGCTGAATCTGCATAATCAGAGACCACATCCAGATGCAGGGCTTGGCTTGCAGACTCTATAAATTTTGAGACCGCTTCCATGCCCAGCTTGGCTTGCTGAATTCATACCGCCAGGTACACCACTTTCTGATACCCAGCTTGGCTTGGATTACAGACTCTACACAGCCAGGTAGACCACTTGCAGATACCCCGCTTGGCTTGCTAAATCTGCAAAGCCAGAGAACGCTTCCGGATACCCGGCTTGGCTTTGCGTGGCTTGGCTTGCTGACTCCACACAGCTGGAAACCGCTTCCAAGGAACGACAGGCTATGTTCCTCCTGCTCCTGCTGCTGCTAGCTGTGAACTGTGTGCTATCACCGGAAGATAAGGAAACCGCGCTGAGCAGGCCGAGTGGAGAAAGGCATGAATGATGCTACTAGCCAGGAAACTAGCCACGTAACTAGGGCTGAGCAGGAACAGCAGCATACCTTACTTCTGAGACCGGAGTTCATCAGAACTGGACTTCCTTAGCTTAGGTGGTTGTTGCAGATCTCAACCCTGACCACAAGTACTATGTCAACGTACCAGTGTTTAAGGATTTGATCCTAGCAGCTGTGATAGCGCGTACACCATGCTTCGGGGGGGGGGGGGGGGGGCTGTTCTTGTTGAGCTGCTGCTAGTCCTGCTGCTGCTACTCCCAGTCTGTACACATGCACATGTTAGCCGTGGTGTGCGTGTGTGTATGTGTGTGTGTGTTCGCGCGTATGTGCGTGTGTGTGTGTGTGTGTGTGCTCTTTCTCTCTCTCTGCTGCCCCTCCGGGGCCCACGTGACCCTAGTGGTAGTGGCTCTACAGGACAGGACAGGTGTGTGTGTGTGTGTGTGTGCATGCGTGCGTGTGAAGTGATGGTGAAAGAACTTGCCAAGAAGCAATTGTGTTGTTTGATAAAGTCATGGGAGCTGGCACAAAGGTGAAAGAGTAAAAGCTGCTGTCAATGGAACTTTCTGCTTTTTCTACTTTTCGTCTCTGTGTGTACGTGTCTGTGTGTACGTGTCTGTGTGTTCTTGTTTGTCCAGCATCGCGCCAGTCTTCCGGTGTCCTCACTGGCTGCCCCTAGCTTTGCGCAGTTCCGACGTCGCACCAGCGTGCAGCCCGACATGGCAGCGGCACATCCGCACACGCTGGGCAGTGGTGGCGGTCTGCTTGCAAAGTTCCACCGCAGTTCCACGGTGGAAACGAGCAAAGTGGAACGCGATGAGACAGACTCGCAGGTACAGTGATATCACGGTGTGACACACAGTGGAACCGTGTTAAGAATAACACAACGACGAAACAAACGTTTGCTACAGCTGAACTAGTACCGTCTTTTCCGGATTGT